CCCAGGCTGCCCAGAGAGGTGGTCACTGCCCCATCCCTGGAATCATTCCAGGTTAAGTTGGCCGGGGCTCTGAGCAACCTGCTCTAGTTGGGGATGTCCCTGCTCCCTGCAGGGGACCTCAATGAGATAACTTTGAAAGGTGCCTTCCCACCCAAACCAGTCTGAGCTTCTCTGTAGCCCCTAGTGAATTCATAGTAAATGAAGATTAAACTCCTGAATACAGGAGCAATATTAAAACCAGAGGAGGCCACGGAGATGTTAGAAGATATTAAAGGGAATGAGAAACGAGTTTAATGAAGAGGAACTGAATTCTCCCTGCCCCACCAGCTTGGGTTGAGCTTTTCCACATCTTGGGTTGGTTTTCTTCCTTGCGCCTTCATCCTGCAGGCTCACAAACCTGAATCTTGAGCTACACGAGTCACTTCCTTATTCCTTCTTGTGCACGTGAAGCAAACTGTATGTCCTCTGACCACGTTTCCTCCCGTTGCCCCTCCCCAGGCCGGTACCTCTTCCTGAACGCGATTGCCAACCAGCTGCGGTACCCCAACAGCCACACCCACTACTTCAGCTGCACCATGCTCTACCTGTTCGCAGAGGCCAACACCGAGGCCATCCAGGAGCAGATCACCAGGTGAGGGGGAAGGATTGAGCTCAGTGGCCTTCAGCCTCCAGCGGTTTGGATCTTGGAGCTCTAACTAAATCCTTTTCGGGTTTCAGGGTTCTCTTGGAACGACTGATTGTAAATAGGCCTCATCCCTGGGGTCTCCTCATTACCTTCATCGAGCTGATAAAAAATCCAGCCTTTAAGTTCTGGAACCACGAATTTGTTCACTGCGCCCCAGAAATTGAGAAGTGAGTATAACTGAACCATGAGAAGTCACTAAAAACCACCCATCTGAAGTGGGGCTCGAGTCCCACCTCGAATTTTTGATGCTTCCTAGTGGAATAAATGCCCCTTTGCTTCCACGCCCAGGTTGTTCCAGTCTGTTGCACAGTGCTGCATGGGGCAGAAGCAGGCCCAGCAGGTCATGGAAGGGACTGGTGCCAGTTAGATGAGCCACATCTTGCCTCATAAGCGTGCCAGCCTGGAGGTCCCCGTCCCATCGACTGACAGAAGACTCTGTAAGGCTCCTCCTGACCTTCCCAGCCCCCTTGATTGGGTAGACACACCAGACCCTGGGTGAAAGTCTATGTGGGCATGTTCCAAAGTTTGTAACATTTTATTGATTTTTTTTTTTTTTTTTTACTTTTGGCCAAAATTCAGAGGATGCTGTGAATATAATTTTGAACTAATGTAAATACATGGAACAGAAATGTTTGTCTGGACTTTTGGGGTTGTGCAAATTGTGTAAAAGGCAGGTGGGTAACTGGTGCCTGTCCAGCTTGTAATAAAGGGGCAGCTGCTGATGCCAAGCACTTGTCTGGGGCAGACCTTGTCCTGACATTCCCAGACTCCCAAAGACTATTGAAAAGCCAGTTATAACATTATGTAACTTATTTTTCTTTATGTGGATGGGGGACCTTTAAATCACTAAGTTGTTTTACAAAAAGAAAAAAGGGGGATGTGTTTGGAATACAGGAATATGGAGCATGGGAGGGGTGAGGAAGGGGGTTGAAGTTCCTCAAATGCTCACAGCAAGTGGAGCAGCAGTCAGAGAATGCCTCCTTTTTGTTGGAGAAGACACACCTCAGGCCCTTGGGGAGAGGGTCACCTGTTTTTAGGAAAGAAACCAGAGACCAGGCTTACAGCTTTTTTTTTTTTTTTTTTTCTTTTGGACGCTTGTAAATTTTGGATGGTGGTGGGGGTTAAATCCAGACTTTTTCCCACCCCCCCTCACCCTGTGACCACACAGTATAAGTTTGTAAAAAAAAAAAAACCAAAAACAAAACAAAACAAAAAAAAAAGAAAAAAGAACAAATTAAAAAAAACCCAAAGGACCAATACAGCCCATTTTGTAAGGATTTTGAATGTTTTGTAAAGTATTGGTCCATGTGTTGTATTTTGTAGACTTTCTAGTTCTTGGGCTTTAGTTCTCCCACTTCTTGTATGTATGCATACTGTAGTTACACATTAAAGTCATGACATGCAGCACGTGCCACTGTGCTTCTTCTCTCCAGCTCCATCCTGCCTGGCTGCTCGATGGCTTCCAAAGCCTGTTCCATCCCCAGACAGACATTTTCCAGTGTGATTTGGGCACTGCCTATGGAGAGCAACCAGGGTTTGGTCTCTAGGATGAGGTCAGAGGGGAGAGCTGTTACAGTGAGGCAGGGCCTTGCCTTGAAGTGGCGTTTGCAGCACCTCATTTGGAAGTTCTTGAGCAGTTTGGCAGAGCTGTGGTGATATTCCCCTCAGGGAATGAGGACCCATGCAAGGTTGCTGGTTAGCTGTAACAAAGGGCAGGTGGCTTCAGCAGCACCAGTACTCCCAAATCCTTTAGCAGCTAGGAGGAGAAGGGAGCTTCACAGCTTCCTTTTTGGAGAACTTTAAGCTAGTGGACTGCTATCGTATGGGTGGAAGTCGGGGTCCCCTGCTTAGGTTGAAGGGATTGTGTACCTGGCTGTGCTCTTGCTGCACAGGGCAAAAGCCACCTCCAGGGACCACTGAGCCACGTCTGGCTCAGAGGGAGTCCTTGCTTTGTGCCCTGTTCCCAGGCTGTGTTTTTCCTGTGTGCCAAGGAGTCATCTCCTACCAGTTCCTGGCATTTCTTGGGCTAAAACTGAGCCTTTTGAAGTTGGAATTTTTGGGTTCTGGTGTTGCAACCCCAGCCAATTCTTCCTCCCATGTTGGGTTAGGATACTGAGAATTAACCAGCAGCCTGTTTTTCTCTATCTAGCCCAGGTGGTTTTTTTGTCTGCCACTTAACTCTAGCAAACCACACGCAGAGCTTACTCACTTGTCCCAGTGACTCAAAGGTCTCTGGTTCTGTATTAACGTTGTGGCTGGTTCCCTTTAGGCTTTAAGAACTTTCAGGCTGGTAGAAAGAGGGGGCAGAAGTTGGACAGGATTCAGCAAATATCCCAGGTAACACTAGTTTGAAATCTCATCTGCTGTAAGGAGAGAAGTGCTGAGATAGCAGACTGGACTCTGAACACACCACTGTAAAAGCGGGGTTAAAAAAAGCTCCCTTCAGTTCTGTTAAACTGCCATGGCCCCCAGCAGTGCAGGTGGGGATGGAGGTGACCTTTATCTACACCAATGTGGTGGTCTGCATTTCTAACTGCAGCAGCAGCAAAGATCCACCCTTTTCAGTGGGGCTTTACACCCTGTTGAAGCAGACAATGTTGGTGGGTAAGAATCAGCATCTTTATTAGGTAGAACATGGCCTGCAAACCTCAAGCCCACACAGAGAAATGCCTTTCAGAGGGGTAAAAGAAATGTCTTCCTGTGCTGAGCCTCCATGAAAACCAGGTGGATGGGCTTGTACCCTTACCAAATGCTCAGAATTAACTATGTGTAGCTGAAGAGTTCAGTGCTGCCAGCATTTCCACTTGCCAGACGTTTACTCTGAACCTGTAAGGGTTCTGTGAGGTACAAGCCACCAGCTGGATTTCTGATGCTTTCATCTGCACAAGGACCAACAGCTCTTGCCTTGAATTTCTGATGCTGAATGAGGGAACCCACTGTCTGTGCTGAAAGCACGTGTCTGCCTTCCAAAAACAGCCATTAGGAGGAGGAGGTCCAGGCTTTAAGTCCTCTAGAAGAAGGTGGTAGTTGTGCTCCAGAGCTCTCGCTGTAAGACAAGGCCATCCCAAACCACTTCTTTACTGTAGAAGATCTTTCCTGATGTAGAGGTAGCTAAAAAGCCACGTGCCAGGAGGGACAAGTGGGCCCATGCTCCATCTTGCCCTCTGCTCTCGTTGCTGTAGAAGAGGAGATGGCCAGAGGTGACCCTCCACCCCCCAGCACAGTTAATTCCAGGAGCAGGCAGGTTTCTAGCGTACCAGCTCCAGCAGCTGGTGCAAGATCCTCTTCTGGCCGTAGCGCACGTGCAGAGCCTGCTGCTCCCTTCGGCTCAGCTTCTCATAAGCCTCCTGGTCATTCAGCAAGTCCTGCTCTGCTTTCAAGTCAGACCTGTAGGACTCCAGGGTCAGCAGGATGCTGTCATAGAGGAGCTTCTTGCAAGGGGTTTTAAGTCTGGAGAGAGCCTCATTGGAAAGGGTGGAGCTTTCCTCTTCCTCGCTGTCATCTTCCCAGCCATCTTGTTCCTTATACTCCTTGAATTCTTCTTCTGACATGCACAGCACCTGTGATGACCCAGGCAGAGAGAGGAGTCACTGGCTGGCAGTGTGAGTACCTCAGGCTTTCTCCTCCACAGGAGTGTGGGTTTGAGACCATGTGGAGCAGGTGAATTATTCCTCAGCTGCACTGAAGATAAGAGTAAAAAGGGCTTGGATTTCTCCTAACCCACAAGTTGCTTGTAAGGAGGTAATTCAAACATCAAACCTGGGTCTCTGGACCAGTCTTAAAGGACATCTTGGCTGCTGCCTACAAAGATGTAGCCCCTCTCCAGAGCAGCAGTAGCCCCAGAGCCATTCAAGACCAGTTAGTAAGTACAGGTGGGCAGCTAGCTGAGAAGGCAACAGTTAACAGCACCTGAAGCCTGGGAGCTGGGCAGACACAGCCTCTGCTGCTTTTTCACGCAGGAGTCAATGTCAAAGCACCTTCACAGGCTTGTCCCCCTTCCCAGAACCACACAGCAGTGCTCACCTTGAGGGTTGTGGACAGCTCTTCCTCTGTCAGCACCTCGTCCCAGCCCAGTACAAAGGCACCTTCCTCCCCGACCATCTCCAGCTGGCACAAGAAGTCCCACTGCTCTGCCACCAGCTGCTGCTCTGCTTCACTTCTGGCGCCTGTTTTGAGGACAGCAGAGCTGCAAACCCAGTGCAGGTCGCACTGGGGAGGTTTGTCAGTGGAGAAGGGGAAGGACGAGGCAGAGAACTGAAGAAAACTCCCTTGAGCCTTGTTTCATTACATACACCATGTTTAAGAAGAGAGAGTTGGGGTTGTTCAGC